AGGAGGACGGAAGGAGGGGTCTTGAGGGGTAGAAATACAGTGATGTCTCTGTTGGGGAGGGGAGATCGGGGGAGGGGAGTATGTCCCAAGGGAGGGAGGGGCAAGAAGGGAAGGGGTGGGGGGAGCAGGTGCCTTCTCCAGGAAGCCAGCCTGGGGAAGGGGTGTTGGGCAGGGGGTGCAGACCCAGGCCCAGGCTCAGGGCCCATCTGAGCATGTCGCTGCTAAGGAGGCGCGGAGGCGGGGGAGGGGAGGGCGGGAGGTGAATAAATAATAGGAAATAAAACTTCATGAAGCAGAAAATAAAAGGCAGATTATACAGATGTGGCAATTTGAAGGATCATTGCCTCTGTCCTCTTTTTAACTGCTGCATCTGGAGTTTCGAAGCCGCTTATCCTGATCCTCCCTCTGCCAGGTCCCCGCCTGGCTGCAGGCTCCCGCGGGGCCAAGGCACGCGTGGGGACAGCACCTCAAATGCCGCTGCCGGTGGCATTTCCTCCACCATGCGTGGCTGCCCAGCCTCGGGCGAGCTCCCGGGCCGGGGCAGTGGTTCGGTGTGTGGGGTAGGGGGTAAGGGAGCCATGAGCCAGGCATGGGTGTGGCGATGTCCCTCGGGGAAAGGAAGGGGAGCGTGAGGGCCTAGGCGGGTTATGGGGGCCTGTGGGTGTGATGGGAACGGGGAACCAGCCTAGAAGGCCAGGGATGGGGCAGGGGCTTGTGTCAGGCCCAAGGAAGGGGACCCTGGCCAGAAAGGCACTCGGAGCACTGCCAGCTGGGGTCTGAGGCCTGGTCTCGGCAGCTTCTTTCTCCTCTTCATCAAAATTCATTTGTTAAGCCTCCACTTGACACTGTGCCAGGTGCTATATAAACAGACATGGTCCCTGCCCTTAAGGAATTTCCAGCCTAAGACACACACACACACACACACACACACACACACATACACGCTGACATTTTGTTTATTTTGTTTTAAATATTAATGTATTCCCCACCTTGTTCCAGGAGGATTTGAGACAGCTCATAGGAAATGCATGCAATACATTAGCAAGACACACATTAAAAAAATACATCAGAGCGACGGGAAAGGTACCACGGCAGCCTGCTGGGTCCTACAGCGCTGCCACTCGGAACTGGGATGTTGGCCTTGAGTCTCTCGGTGGCCGAGCAGAAGGCTTATCAAGGCCATGGCCAGTTCTCAGGGGAAGTAGCCCTCTGCCTAGTACTTGGTTGTAACGGAAAATTCCCACCTCGGCTCCAGTGAAGGAAGCTTGGTGTGGACAACACCACATCCACTTTGCACCCAGCTTCTCCGGGGCTACCTCGCACCACGGCCAGAGCGGAGAGCCAGGGCCTCCCCTCCCAACCCCAGCTCAGAATACCCCCTGCCCGGAAGCACCCTGGGTCCCTCAGCCCTTCCTGCAGCCCTGGGCTTTCTTTCTACAGAGTCTCTGAGAAAATACTTGTCACTGGAGTTGAGGTTCCAAGCTGGGTCCACCCAACCCAGGGCCTAAGCATTGGAGGAGTACACACTGCCGGGAGGACTCTGGGAGCCAGGAGCAAGGGTTTCCCTCTTTTCTGACCTAGTGCCACCTTCCGAGATCAGAAAACCAGAAGTGTCCACGTTGATACCAAAGCGGAGGCAGAGGCCTCTCTGGGTCCAGTCTCCTGGAGAATCGTGGTGCACGTCTTTCAAAGGCATGGATGGGGTGTCCCAGGGTCATTCATAGAAACAGGGGGCTGAGGAGAAGACTGGCCTTGGGGAGGAGCCGGCACGAAGGTCAGCCCTACAGGTAACACATGATACCTGTGCAGAGACACAGCGTCTCCAGGAAGAGCCTCCGGGAGCCACGTCTTACACACAGACTCCAGGGCTGAAATAGAGGTTGAAAGCTCGGAGCTGTCTCCCTGGCAGCTCTGATCAGCAGGCAAATAATCTCCGAGGCTGCAGCTTATGGATGGACTGAGACTGGGTGGGAGGAACAAGAGGGGGCAGCAGGAAAGGCAAAGGAAAGAGAACATCCAGCGAAGCAGAGGAGGGGCCGGTGCTGTGGTTCAGCCGGTTAAGCTGCCGCCTGCAGCGCTGGCATCCCATATGGGCCCTGCTTTGTGTCCAGGCTGCTCTGCTTCTGATCCAGCTCCCCGCCAATGGCCTGGGAAAGCGGCAGAGGATGGCCCAGGTGCCTGGGCCCCTGCACCCACATGGGAGACCCGAAAGACGCTCCTGGCTCCTGGCTTCGGCCCAGCCCTGGCTGTTGCAGCCATTTGGGGGAATGAACCAGCGGGTGGAAGACCTCTCTCTCCCTGTCTCTCCCTCTCTCTCTCTGTAACTCTGCCTTTTAAACAAATAAACCTTTTTTTAAAAAAGCAAGCGAGCAGAAGAACCAGGAGAATGTTGCCACTGGAGGACCAGGTGGGACGAGCTTTTGAGACGTGCATCGTTTGGATTCCAGGTACAGGGCCCTGGTAGGAGCCCCCGGGGATGCCGCGTGGACTCCAGCAACCCCAGGCCCTGCCCTTGGGAAGTGTGTGGTCTTCTGGGAGCACAGAGACAAAAGGGAAACAGAGAGGGGGAGCAACAAGCCCGAGTTTGCTGTGACCGAGAGGAGCCGCCGGAGGCCAGCTGCAGGGAAGGCCTCGTGGAGGAGGTGGCGTGTGGACAGCGGTTGGCTTTCTCCAGGTCATCCATTCCTCCCTGCTGCCTTTGTGGTGCTCTGAGTCCATGGCAGCTAGCCCCGGGCCCCGGCTTTCAGGTGGCTGCGGCTTTGCTCTGATCCGCTTCAGCCCTCGCTCCCGAGACCAGGCCAGAGGTGGGCACGCGGCCCTGGGAGGCTGCTCCGAGACGCTGTTCCTGGGCTGGTGTCTGCAATCTGCAGGAAGCAGTCTCTGTGCTCTTGCACCAAGAAGCAGGACCCTGGTGGGGGGGCGGCTGCTGGGGTCCCCTGGGAACCGCCTAGGCCTGGCAGGTGGCGCCCCGGAGAGGCGAGAAGCATGCAGCCCTGGGCTCAGCCTCACCTGGCCCTGACGCATCACACCTTCAGCGGAGGGGGAAGTGAAGTCCTTTTCTGCAAAACCCAGCTGTGCTCAGGCCTCCAGGCAGAGATGCAGCTTCCAAACAGGAAGACGCGTCCAGCGCAGGCTGCAGCTGGAGCACAGGGCAAGACGCGGAGGGTGCCCAGGTGAGCCCGCCGGGGCTGGGTCCTAATAGCTAACCTCCCTAGGCTCTCCTCCTGTGCCAGGCACTGCTCTCGGGTGTTTACCTGTGTGATTTCACTTCATCCTCATGCAGCTCCTGTGAGGCAAGTAGTGCTATGATCCTCATTTCATAGAGAGGCAAACCGAAGCACAAGAGGCTGACTGGCCCACAGTGAGACAGGTGCAGCAGGGACTCCAGCCCAGGCACCGCAGTGCTGAGGCCGGGCCACGCTGGACCTCAGCGCACGTCCAGGCAGGTTGCATGGCTGGCAGGGCCAAAGGCGGCTGAGAGGGAGGGGTCGCTCTGAAGGTGAAGACCCTGCATTTGATGACGTCAGTAGCTCTGGGGGTGGTGTGTCAGGGAAGGGCAGAAACCCCCATGTAAGGTGTGAATGAGAGAGCTGGCAAAGACATATATATATCCTGTGGGCTCTTTGCGGATGGCTACAGGAAGCAAGCAGACTTCTGTTTTTTTTTTTTTCTTCTTAGCAGTAATACTTACAAATGCCTGCAAGGCACAATGACCCAAGGGGTAGAGAGAAGGCCCCGGAACCCCTGCGGGAGGGAGGCCCAGGGCAGAGGAGGAGGTGGCGCGCAGGCGCAGGGAGGTAAGAGCCATCCATCGCCGGCCTGCAGGATGGGCACCTGTTCCTCTACAGATGGGAAGAGGAACGGCGCAGGCAAAGGGGTGAGCAGGTGACCGGGACACAGGCACACTGAGGCACTGCGGGGGAAGGTGCTGGCAGAGGGCAGGGCCAAGGGAGACACAGTGGCCTTGTGGGAAAACACTGCACAGCTCCGAGCACGCACCTGGGGCTGGGGCAGGAGGGCAGGGATGGAGAACATGTGGCCACGCCGTCCCAAGGTTCCAGGCCATTGCCGCTCCCCCCATTTTTCTCATCTTTATTTTGAAATAATTTGTTTAGATTTCCACGAGAGTTGTGCAAATGGCACAGGACGTTTCCAGGCTGTGGTCTGGCCCTACCTACCCCCTAGTCTTGCTTACTCATTTCAAATCTTAAAGCAGAACTCCCAGGCTGTCTCTGGTGCGGGGAGGGGGAGGGGGAGGCTGTCCCTGCTCCGCCTCATGCTCACAAAGAGCCATGCACCGGGGCTGCCTCCGAGGTCCTCGCAGGTCTGGCCTCCGCCCAGCACCACTCAGCCCCACACCCCCTTGCCTCCAACTCCGGAAGACTCTGAGCCCCCAGGGGAAAGGACCCCAGCCTCAGGCCCTAGTGATCTTTCCATCTTCCCTGTCCACAGCAGAAGCCAGCTGAGCGGCCATCCTGGGACACCCCACCCCCACCCCCGCCCCGGTCACAGCAGGCCCAGCTCCTGAAGCTCCAGCTCAGCACCAAGAACCCCTGGCTGTCACCTTCTACTATGGACAAGGAGGGGAAGGAGGCTGGGGATGTCAGAGGCCCAACCTTTGCTTGGCAGGGGTTTCCCCCACACAGCGCGAGTCCTGGCCTTGAGCCACCGTAGACTTGGGGAAGTGGAAGGCGCTGCTCCTGGATGGCACAGGGGCACACAGATTCACTTCCTTTCTAGGAGCAGGCGCTCGGCAGCCACACACCTGAGCAGGGGGAACTAGGAAGATGCAAGCCCGCCCTCCAGTGGCCATGCGTCCTAACTGCAGCCTCAACGACGCAGTCTCCACCTCCCCGGGCCCCTCCAGGCAGGTGCCTGGGCAGCACTGGCTGGTGAGCTTAGGCACGTGGGGTCCCCTGGCTCTGAAGGCTTCACATGCCCGGGGGGAGGGGAGGCACTGTCTTGCATGAGCAAAGGCGCATGGGAGCGTCACGCACACATTCAGACGAACCTCCACCTTTTATTCTGGCTTTAGGAATGACAGGGGCACTTCAGACACTGGTTGAGGACGCCCACCGCCCACATCTACGTGCCCGGGTTCAACTCCTGATTCCGGCTTTCTGTGAATGTGCCCCTGAGAGGCAGCAGGTGATGGCTCAGTGGAGACCCGGATTGAGCTCCGGCTCCCGGCTTTGGTCTGGCCCAGCCCTGGCCGTTGTGAGCATTTTGGGAGGGAACCGGCAGATGGGAGATCTCTTTTTGCCTCTCAAATAAATAAATAAACGTTAAAAAGGAAGAGTCACACCAGTCCAGCGAGGTTCAATCAACCCGGTGAAAGCCACTTGACTTTGCAGACATCTGGTCCAATCCACCTCATGCTAGAATTCACCCCTTAAAGTGAGGCCATGGAACGCGATAGTGGCTGCTACACATCAGTTCCCCAGGGAGCTGTTGACACACCTGGCCACGCCCTACAGGCTGCTGGACGGGAGCCTGAGACTGGGGTGGGGTGTCGGGGCAGGGAGAGAGGCCCGTGCTGTCTTAGGCCAACAGCAGGGAACCCACAGGCGCAGCTGTCACCGCGCGTTCAACTCTCCAGTCCCTCAAGAAGGCTTTGTCACAGGCACGGAATAAACCGGTGCAGGGGTACGAGATTCTCAGCTTCCATCCAGCTTCGTGAGCCCACCGCCCCGTGCCTCGTGCTCACACACACAGGCACAGGGGCACAGGGGGCACAGAGCCTGCCACTCTGCAGGTGGCCGGGCCGGCCTGCCTCACACACACCTCCCCCTGGGCCCACGGAGGCAGTGTGGCAGGCAGCAGCCAGCCAGCCTCCTCCTCCGGCACACTTGGCTGAACAGAGACAATGGAGGCTGCTCCCTCCAGCCCAGAACCTCCCCTAGAGATCAGGCCCCACTGGGAGGCAGCCAGAGGGCAGGACCAGGGGATTTCCCAGGGGGAGGGCTGCAAAGCCCCTGGGAGCCAGAGCAGGGAGCAGGGCTGGGGCAGGGAAGAGGTCCTGGCCCCCCGGGGGGAATGCAGCTGTGAGGGCCGTGGAGGGAGGGGTGCCCGGCAGAGTCTCCCGCGCCCGGCTAGGTCTCGTCTGGTCTCCAGCCTGACTCCACACCGCTCGCCTCTCCACGGCTGGGGGATTCTGCCCACAAAGTGGTCTGAACCTGGGGAAGCCCCTTGCGCCTCTGGGAGACAAAGACCTCCTGTTCCCGGGCTCCCAGGCCCCAGCCCCTGGGCTCTGCCTTCTCCTTGTCTGTGCAACAAGACGGAGCCCCTGAGGGCCCCTGCCTGCAGGCTGCCCCTCAGTGGGCAGGGGCTGAGCCACCTCCTGTTCCCTGTATCCCAAGAGGCTGGCTGGGCGTTCCCTAGAGGCCCTTGCTCCACTCTCTCCCATGGCCTCCCCCAGCAGGTCACCTAATTCCCACTGCCAGGCTGACTTCAGGCTCCCCTGGCTGCTGCCCCAAGCTCTCTCCTGCAGGCCCAGAGCCCACGCGCAGGCCCCAGAAATGAGGCCGCTCTGGATTCTGGGACAGGGAGGGCGACAGGGGACAGGCTCTGGGAGCAGAGCCAAGTCTTCCACTTCCCTCTTCCCCTGGGAGTGGCCAGGGGCTGGGGCCGCTGAGGGTCCACAGAGCTGGGGCTGGGGGGGCGAGTGAACCTCCAGGTTCCTCCATAGCTCTCGCTCGGCTTCACAGCTGGTTGCGGTTCCGCTTGGGGATGATCTTCCGGTAGGTTCTGCGCTCCGAGATGTTGCGCTTCACCTTGGCCGTGGTGGGGGCCTCCTCCTGGTGCAGGGACGGGCTGGAGTGGGACTTCTTCAGGCTGGGCTTGGGTTCCCGTGCGCCTGCAGCTTCTCTCCCCAGCTGCTCCTCCCACAGGGCCAGGTCACCCTCCGGGCAGTGCAGCCGGGCCACCAGCAGCTGCACGTAGGTCTCGTAGCGGGTTTTCTGCAACACACGGGCAGGGCCGGCCCCCTCAGCACCACGCAGGCTCCAGGGCCACAGGAGGCTGCAATGGTGCGGTACAACCCATAGGTGTGTGAAGCCACCGGGACAAAGCCCTGTGCAGAAGAGGCTGGGCTGATGGTGAGAGCCTGCTGAGTGTCCAGGCCACCGCCCACGCCACAGCACACCACTCAGGCCCCTTACAATCGCACACGTTCCCGGGAGTGCTGTGACTGACAGCTCTAGGCCACCCATCGCCCGCTCCACCTGCCATCTGTGCGCCCTGAGTGACGACCCGGCTCTGTACAGGGTGGTGCCAACTGCTCTCACCTGCCGCCTACACTGGCCTCCCCCCACCCTGCCTACCACCTACCAGGCTAAGTTCCAAGACCCCCGACTCCAATGGGCTCCTGAAACCATGGGGAGTACCACATCCTATAGATGCCTTGTTTTCCCATGCATACGCGGGTACTTCAAATATGGCATGGGAAAACTGATTTAAAAGAAGAGTTTATTGGGAAGCTGTTGTGGTGCAGCATGTTAAGCTGCTGCCTGCAGCGCCGGCATCCCACATGGGCACCAGTTCAAGTCCCGGCTGCTCCACTTCCGATCCAGCTCTCTGCTGTGGCCTGGGAAAGCAGTAGAAGATGGCCCAAGTCCTTGGGCCCCTGCACCCATGTGGGAGACCTGGAAGAAGCTCCTGGCTCCTGGCTTCAGATCAGCTCAGCTCCGTCCACTGAGACCATCTGGGGAGTGAACCATCAGATGGAAGACCTCTCTGTCTCTGTAATTCTGCCTTTCAAATAAATAAATCATTTTTTAAAAAAAGTTCATTTTGGTGCAAAATAAAAATTGAAATCCATGCATATGAGGGATCATCAGAAAATGTATATTATGAAAAAAACATACATGGACTTAAATATTTTTGTAGAAAAAAACAAACATAATTCCTTGTAACTCCACTTTCCACGAATCTTTTGAAGTACCATCCTAACATGCATGCTAAAGCTGAGTTTCAAAGTCAGGACACAGTCAAAGGTTAGCAACGACGACCAAGGGGATGATGAAGGGGATGATGACAACCATACTCTGGCGTGACAGCCTGTGAACGTGCTGTCTCTTCTAAGGGCAGTCACACTCACCGAGCTGGACCATGGGAAATTAAAACCCTGTGAGGGAGAGGGACCCCTGGGGCTGGCTCCAGGCAACACCCAGTGCAGGTGCTGATCTGTGATAAAGCAGGAGGAGGGGCACGCCCAGGCCAAAGGGATGGGCCAGATGGGGCGGAGGAGGCCCCTCCTCCACCCTCATCCACACCTCAGCTACCCCTCCTGCCCGGCAGTCCCCCACCCCACAGGACAGCCAGGCGCCGGAAGTGGGCGCTGAGCACTGCAGTGACCGGAAGTGCACCGCTGCGGCACCAGCGCAGACCTAGGGGTGTGGCTGGGTGGGACGGGGGAGGGGTGGGGGAGTGGGCCTGGACCTCAATTTCGGGCCCTGAAGGGCACAGGGACAAGACGGGAGCTGCAGGTCAACTCGGACGGGAGGTCTGGCATCTCTGTGTCCTGGTCTGTACAAGGGGCACAACAGTGCTCGCCCCAGAGGTGTCAGACCACTAAACGAGACTGTCCACGCCAGTCCCACCAGCCCCAGGCGCCCCACCTGTCACCGGGTCCACACGGGAGGGAATCACTCAATTAAAACACAGCTTTTCCTTCTTTTTAGGAAAAGCCAAATAGAAAGGAAAAAATTATACAAATATTGTCCCCTCTGGGGGTTAGCAGACAAGCGGCTGCCACGTGTTCCCCAGGACAAAAGTGGCGGGGCCACTCGCACTGCGCCGGCAGGCTGACAGCTCCCACGCTGTTGCCACGCGGCTGGGATTCGCGCTCCGCCCAGACGCCGCTGCAGGGACAGGGGCGTCCACGAGGGGGCGGCAGAGGGGCGGCCAGCGCGGCAGGCCTCACCTCGTACTCCAGGTACTCCTTTCGCAAGCGGTGCTCCTCCAGCTCCCGGCCGCGGCCCCGCCGCTCGGGCAGCTTCCGCTGCAGGTCCAGCAGGTCGTCGGAGGCAGCGTCCAGGCAATTCTCATGGGATCGATGCTGCTCCTCCTGGGTGTGGCCGGCAGTAAGGGAAGCTGTCCCATGCCCCTGGGTCCCCAGCTCCGCATGCCCCTTCCAGGGCCCCGGTTCGAGGCGCCCACCTCTCGCTGCTCTCCAACGCCCCAGCTCCAGGCTGCAGCCCCGCCCCACAACCCCCGACCCCAGCTCGGGTCCAGGTGCACGGCCCTCCACCCCACCCCCCATTCTTTCCCGGGTCGGTGCCCGCCCGTCCCCTCCCACTGACCCTGGGGCTGGGGGGCGCACACGCCCCTCCAGGAGGCCGTACCAAGGAGCTCTGGGCTGGGCCCATGGGCAGGATGGGCCGCACGAAGCGGCGCTGGGAGCCCACGGCGGCGGGGAAGGGGGGCGCCGAGTGCGTGGCGGCGGCCAGGTTGATGCGCGCGATCCAGGAGCTCATCTCCTTGGCCGTGCTGCGGGCAGAGGAGGTCATCGGTGCTGTCGCCCTTCCACCACCCTGTGGCCTGCACAGCCATCATGCTGCCCAGGACTCAGCCTCCAGGGAGCAGGAGCCCGGCAACCAGCAGCATGGTTGACCCCTGAGTGTGGCTTTCTTATCTGTCAAATAGCAAAATCCAGGGTAGGGGGGTGGGCAATAGACTTTACAAAAGTGCCCTAAGTGTCTGCTTGGTGGAGACTGATGCATGGGCCAAGAGGAGGAGCAGGCAGTACTGGTGGCACCCCGGCATCCAGTGTCCCTGTCCCGGGGGCCAGCAGTGCTCAGAGGGGCCAGGGGGGCCACGGGAGAGGAAACCTGAGGGGTGGCCGCCCAGTGGCTTATCTCCCGCCCCAGGGACTCACGGGGCCTGGAAGAGGTAGAGACGCCAGTCTGCTGTCCGCAGCTGGAAGACGTGTGGCCTCTTGGTGTAGTGGGTGGCCGGGGTGGCCAGCGAGTGGTGCACCCCCACGGGCTCATCCACCATCTGCCCCAGCAGGCTCTGCCCCTCCAGGCCGTGGCTGTCTCCCTGCACAGGACACAGGGGCTCAGGGCAGGGGTCTTCACCAGCTCCAGGCCCCTCCTGGGCCACCCTCCTACCTTCAGGAAGTAGAGAACCATCCCTCGCAGTAACGTGTGGAACATCTTCCAGCCACGCTTGCCCCACGGTGCTGCTCCGGAAGCAAAGCACACGGGTGAACGGCGGCACCCGAACCCGTGTCCAAACCCACACAATCATGTGCACAGCTCCTGCTGCTCCCCAGGGTGTGCACGCACACACATGCACACACAGTCCCCAGGGTGTGCACACACAGACACACACACACACAGCATGCCAACACCAGAAAACAGAGGCTCTCCACACACGGCCTCAAGGGCAAACCAAAACCATCTATGAGCAAACATGGATGTTCCTATAGACCGTGCCCTCCCCAAATACGTGACCATGACCCCACGTGCAAACATCCCCCCCGTACACACAGTCCCACTCAGGTACCTGTCTGCTCCCTGCAAGATGACCTCATGATACCCATCTAGAGGGGCCCAAGGGCTCGGGTCCCTGAGCACCCTGGTCCTGTGTGGTTACACCTGCTCTTAGCTCCTGAGGAAGAAGGCCTGATTCCCTGTGGTCACATGCAGGGGCCCTGCCCAAGCCCCTGTGGTTTCTCCTAGCCCGTGCTAGCTCCCTTCCTGGTCAATCTGTGACTCCAGATTGGTCGCTAAGGTCACTGCTCTGGCCACGCTGCTGCCCTGCTGAAGAGCACTCGGCCACCTGGGGAATGAGGCCCGAATGTGCTCCCATCGCTGCCTTTCACGTCCCCACGAGCTCAGCACACTCTGCTCACTCTTTTCTCTGTGGGGGACACCCTCCGCCCAAGTTCAAGAATGCAGAGCCTCATCCCCTTAGTTCAGGTCAGACACCACCATTCCCCAGAAGTCGTACCTGTCCCTCTCCCCCTCCGGCCCTTACCACAAAAGTAAAAACCCGTCCCCCGTGCCCCACACCCCCACACTCAATCCAGCCTTCCCTCACTCAGCTCCTTCCCCCTTGGACCCCAGACCCTGATACGCTAATCCCCACCCCGGGGTCTGGCTGCTGGGCCCATCCTGCCCCACACCAGTGGTCACCATTCCCTCACAATGAGGAAGGAACGTAGGTGGTGTCCGCGCACCGCACACGCTCCCCGAGCAGCTCCACTCTCCAGGCACCGCCCTGTTCTCGGGCAGCACAGACACTCACTCTTCTTGCCGTCGGCGTCCTGATGCATCTTGCGAGCCAGGATTCCCTGCTTGTAGGTGGGCGCTGCGGGGTCCTGGGCCAGCTGGAGCAAGGGGCTGCTCATCTTGCCAGCCGGGGGAGACGGCTGGGCCTTCTCGGGCCTGGCTGTGTCTTCTTCATCCCTGGATATCAGAGAATCGAGCTGGAGGTGCTGACTGAGCAAAGATCGCTGGGAGGGACCCACCGCCCCAAAGCCTCAGCACCCTCTCTCCTGCGGGGGAGCCCCACATCCCAGGGCCCACTAGAAGGAGACCCTCTTAAAGACAACCTACCAATTCCTGGACACGCTGCTTAGCCACACCCTTGCTATTCTTGGCCCCATACTGCTTTTGCCTCTGCCCCATGCAAAGGGTCTGCACTTGGTCAGTTCTCAGTGGGCAATGGTGAGGTCAGGCCCAGAGACAGGGGTAAGGGCGCTAGGAGAAGAGAAGGGGGTTTTCACTCACACGGCCCACTCAAGCTTCTCACTTCGGATAGACCAGTAGAGGGCCTGAAACAGAAGCACACAGGTGAGCAGGGGAGACCCAGGGCTGGTTTGGGGGACCCTAAACTGTCTAGTAGAGGTAGGAGAGGCAGCATGTGTGTCCCCCCGCCAGCATAGCTGCCCCTCCATCCATGCAACCATCCATCACATATCCATCTGTCCATGCAGGCATGCATCCATCACCCATCCACGCATCCATCCATGCATCCATGCATCCATGCATCCATCCATCCATCCTGCATCCATCCATGCATCCGTGTATCCATCCATCCATCCATCCATCCATCCATCCATCCTGCGTCCTTATCCATACATCCAGGCATCCAGACATTTATCCATCATCCATCCAGCCACCCACTCAAAAAACTACTTATGGAGCATTTCCCATGTGCCAGGCCCTGCGCTGGGTGAGAAGACATGATGATCAAGGCAGTGGGGTCCCTCTGTGTCCCACTGGAGTTTAGTTAGGGCTGAGCTAGTGCTCATGAATGGTGCATGAGTCACCCATGTGCCGTCTTGGCTGGAGAGACCAACTCCCACAGCAAATGCATAGTAAGCAAACGAATGCACTTGTAAAAAATATAACAAATAGTATTGACATTGATGTATCCTGACTGCTTCTGTAGGCCCTGCAGCGCCTAACAAAGTGTTTGGCACACAGTAAGTGTTCAATAAATGTTCACTAAATAGATAGGACAGCAAATGACCTACATGCTCACTAAGCACACACCGTGCACCTGACACTGTGCAAAGCACTTGACGCATTGTGCATCACCCACATAAGGACAGGATAAGGTGACTATGACCTCCTGGAGGAACTTGCCTTGGCTAGAAATCCAACTCAGCAACACCAGCTCCTGAGGCTGAGCCCCAGACTTCCGCTACGTGAAGCTCGGTTCTCCATCTACTCAGGGAACCAATGCACCAGAGCCTCTTGGATTTTGCCAGCCTGAGAATCATCTGGAAGCCCATTAAAACACTACCGGAGCCTCAGAGATTGATTCAGTAGGTCCAGCACAGGGAGTCTATACATTTGCCTGGCTGGCAAATTCCAAGATGCCATTGGCGCTGCCAGCCAGGGGCTAGCAGCCCTTGAGAAAGAAGCCCCATCCTCCCAGGGGTGCTTCCTGCAGAGCCAGGCCCCAGCTCCGTATTCCCCTCGGGTCAAGGAGCCAAGGCTCTGGGTCTGAGACAGGGAGCCCCCGGGTCCTGAGCCCGCCAGGCAGGCCCGCTGGTAACACACCTTCAGTAGCTCCTTGGAGAAATTCCCGCCGTCCTGCAGGCCACGCAGGTTGGTTATGAATTCCTGGCAGCTCATGCTCTTCCCAATGTTCTGTGGCCAGGGTGGTGGGGAGAAGTGGGGTAGCTGGCACTCCCTTCCCCGACACAGCAGCCCCAGCTGGCTGCTCCAGAACCTTCTCCACATCCCCCAGGGCCCTGCCAGACCCATCCCAGGCTCTGGTCTTCTCTTCCACATACTCCCCACCCCCACTGCAGCCCCTGACCCAGCCCCACCCAGGATCCCCCCCGCCCCCCCGGCACTCTCCCCCATCCTCACCTGTCCGTGCAGGTCCGTGTTAAGGAGCATGACTGCACAGGTCAGGGTGTGAACAGAATCTGCCCGAGAACACGAGTGGAAACACTGTGCTGGAACCCAGACTTCCATTTCTCCTGCCCACGACAGGTGGGTGACCACCCCCATTGCTCTGCAGCCCCCACCACACCCCCAACAGCCGCCGCCCAGGGAGCTCCTGAGTGGACACAGGGCAGCTCCGTGCCATCCCGTTCTTGGGTCCCCCCAAATCCCCCCTGCCCTGCTCTCGGGCCGACGCCTCCCTACCTGCTGAGGGGAAGAGCCCAGGATTGCAGTGATGGAAGCGTTTGGAGAACTGGTAGAGGACTCGCTCCCGCTCCTGGGTCTCCCCGCTGAGCACCAGGGCCTGGAGGAAGCCCCTGCCAGGAGGGCCAGAACCAAAGGGAGAGCCAGGCTGGGACCCCGGGACCTTGGCAGCTGTCACTGCCCTGCAGCCGCCCCCCCCCCCCCCAACAGTGCCCCTCCCCCCAGAGAGGGCCCGAAGGCTTTACCGGAGGGCATGGTCCAGGCTCTGGCCTCCAAACTGGAAGAAGGTCAAGTACGCCTCAGCCACGGCCTTGCTGAAGTCATTGCTGGGAGGGGAAATGGGGATGAAGCCCGCCCCCAAGGTTGGGCTGGGGTCCCCAGGGCCTGCACACCTCACAGAATCAGGTGGGATAGGGGCTGAGCAAGGCAAGGGTACAGCCAGTCTGGACCCTGGGCCCTAAGAGGGTCAGGGGAAGCCAGGTCTGGGATGTTGCCCCTGGAACCCCATGCGTGCTGAGTGGCAGGGACCCAGGAAGGCGGGGGTGGGCAAGGCAGCTGGGTGCAGGGCTCTAAGTGGAGATCAAGGCATGGAGAGGTGGAGGCGGGACAGGCGGAAGGATGGTGGGGGCCCAGGGCAAGGCTGATGGGACATAAGGTGGTGACAGGGCTGGAGTAGGGGCAGGACACCGGCCGAGGAGAGGGAGAGGCCACCGGTAGAAGAACCCCACTGGCAGCTCCTCCCCGTCCTGCTTCAGCCTCAAGCCTTGCCCAGGCTCGAAGCCTCTTACTTCTTCTGCAGGTAGGCAGCCACTTCAGACTTCCGGAAGCCCTCCAGGTGGTAGAGGCGAGAGGCCAAGTTCCAGGCCACTTTGTCCGTCCTGACACCATTAGCCAGTTTGTCTCCAGCCAGTGGCCTCTGGCCTTCCTCTGGGGTCTCTGCTTGGGGCATAGGGCTCTCGGGAAGCCTGGAAGAGTCATTGGGGTCCTCAGCCTCCCACTCGGGATGGGCCAGCAAGGTCTCTGGTCAAGTGTCTTTGCAGGCCTGTCACAAAAGGCGGGGCCCAGAGCTCAAAGCCTTAGTGCCTTGAATGATGGCCTAGCCGCGCAAAGAGCTGAACCCTGGTCTCCCCCAGGGAATGGCTGAGCTGGAACCAGACCCTGGCAGGAGGTTCGCATTCAAGGCCAGGAGGGCTGGAGCTGAGCTGGGTGCACTGAGGTTCCTCGGATAAAGCACAGGCACATTCCACACTAGGTTTGCTTCAGGTGGCAGGTCCAGCCCTTGGAGGACCTGGGGGTATTCTGTCCAACCCAAGGCAAGGTGAGACTGTCTCCCTTCCCTGAGGCTACCTTCACAGGCCTCCATCCGCAGCCCCCAGCTCCAGCCTCTACTGATAACCATGAAGCCAGGGACAGTGCAAGGAAGGGGCCAAAACCAGGAAGCTTGGTTGGTTCCAGGACCGATGACAGTTGGCAGTCAAAGAGGTGGCTTCCAATCTCTCCCTTCCCAGCCCAGCAGCCCTTACCAAGGGAGCCTGCGTGGTGACCTAGGAGGAACGGGAACAGGCCCCAGGCACCCCCAACAGAATCAGAGATCACTCGGGGGCGGATGTCAAGACTCTCGATCATTCTCTACCTGACTGTGTCCCCACTGCACACTACAAGCAGGCGCAGTGTTACCTGGCTACCTCTAATGAATATTCGTGGTCATGCCAGCACAGCTGGGGAGTTGTACAGGTAAGCAAAAGCCGTCTTAATAGGAAAACAGCAGCACCCTCTTCACTCAGCACCAACGGCTGACTGCTCACTGCTCTCGAGGCTCATTGAGGAGAAACCCCACGGACACTGACTGAGAAGTGCAACTGCAAACCTGCCGGGGAGCAGGATCTCATGAAGGATCTGCAAGGGGCTGCTGGAAGACTCCAGAAATCACACAGAAAGCCCCTGGCGAGGAAGGAATGGTGAGGGTTCAGTGCACAAAGCAAGAGGAAGGAACAAAGATGACACAACTGTCACATGGAAAGGGACAGGCGTTTGGCACGGCAGTTAAGCTGCCACCTGGGACATCCATGTCCCACGCTGCAGTGCCTGGGCTGCAGGCCCAGCTCTGCTCCCACTCCAACCTCCTGCTAATATGCCCCCTGGGAAACGGCTCAAGGACTTGGGTCGCTGCCAGCTGCATGGGGGACTCAGGCTGAGATCCTGGCTCCTGGCTTCAGCCTGGCCCAGCCCTGGTTGTGTGGGCACTTGGGGGAAGAAACCAGCAGATGGAGATCTCTGTCTCCGCCTTTCACATAAAATAAATAAATGAAATGTGAAGAGGATCATCTAAGAAACGATGAAGTAACTGGAACAGACATCTGGTCTACCAGTCACGACTCCGAGTCAGGACACCCAGGTCCAATGCCTGCCTCCAGCTCTGCATTCCAGCTTCCTGCTAGTGACAGCCTAGGAGGCAGCAGCGATGGCTCAAGCAGTTGGGTTCTGCTACCCACGTGGGAGGCCTGGATTGTGTTCCCAACTCCCAGCTCCAGCCTCAGCCCAGCCCCAGCCACTGAAGCTCTGTCTCTATTTATCTCTCTCTTTACCTCTCAAAAAAGAAAAATGAAATGATAAAAAGAAAACTCAAGTGATTAAAATTGTTACTAAAATAATATTTAGATAAGGAAACACTTTAGAAGAAAACAATCACTATGCAAATACAAATTGTCATGGGATTGTATGTTTTGAACATGTGAATTGTGTGGTATGCTAATTAAACCTCAACATGGCTATATATATATATATATATATATGGGCCATTTAAATGATCTTTATAATCTCACAGAAAATCAGGCAGGCATGAATGAAAAGTCTCATCAGACCAGCAAACTCACACTGGGAAAATTAAACTTCCCCCACTGTGTTAAATATCAGAGAAAGTAAACCTATTACATAATATGTAGTGTCATTTACCAAGACAAAGCCACAGTTAAATCTTTTTTACTACGATAGTACGGTTTTCTGGATTTCTGCACTTCTGTTTTGGGTCGGATGAACTAACTTCTGTTAACCCGAACCCTCCCTCTGTGGATACCGAGGCTCCTCTGGCTACCAGGCCTCTAAACCACAGGAAGACGGTTCTTTGGTTTCTGGCACTGAGTTTCTCTGTCACCATGAACCAAGGATTAGGGTGGGAGTGGGGTCACCAGTCCAGTTACTACACATTAGGTCCACGACCTGGGGCAGTGCTTGGTCCTCCAAGCCTCTTCCATATGACCCCTATTCAACCAACCAGAAACCAAACCCCTTACCACATGCAGATTATAGGGCCAGCAGGCGCAGGTAGACCAGCTGGCCTACTCCTACCTGGGCCAAAGACCAAGATCACACCATCCTCCTATGGGCCCCATGATCCAGTCCCTCGGTCCCAACCAAACCTCCCCTCGGGGAGATCTGAGCCAACATCCTGGGTCCACACTCTTGTGGTCTCTCCCAGACACCTCCTCAAGTTCAGAGCAGTCTATAATCCCCACGCCACCAGCTCCGCTTTGCCCCCCGTCAGCCTGCATAGCTCAGATCCCATTGTTCTGGGCACATGGCCTTGGTCAGATTCCCTGGGGCGTGGTTCTCTCGGCTCTGTCTACTCTTGAGTCCCTGTGTCTTTAAACCCTCCGGTCCTGGAGCCTACACTTAGTTAAGTGTCAGTGTCTTAAACCCCAGTGAGTGCTTCTCACGCTCCATCCAGACCAGGGGATTCTTAACCACAGCCGCAATTAGGAGCCAGAGAGCCAGGTGGTGGGAGACTCACCTTTCGGCAGAGGTCAAGGGCATGCTGGGCGGGCCGCCTCCAGCCTCTGCAGTGCTAACCATGTCTTCACTCCTCACTGCCTCCTCTGGGTCAGCGGCCTCTCCTGCCTCCACTTCCTTCAGGGAGCTCGGCTCTGTCCCGTCCGTGTCCAAGAGCAAAGAGTGTGAGGCATTCGGCATGCAGTTGGGCAAAGCGCCTGAGCTGTGGCACTGGAGCTGTGGGCCACCTTCCTGGGAGGCCGCCAGGCTGGGCCCGGGGCCTGTGCTCTCAGACTCGGGGCAGCTGGGCTCTGGCAAACAGGCTGGGCTCTCCCAGGCGCCGGGGGACACGGTGCAGGGAGCAGGAGGCTGGGGCCGCCCAACCTCCCTCTCACCTGAAGAAGAGCAGAGAGTGAGGCGGGCACAGGGCAGGAGGAGGGCCTGGGCTGCCACCTCCAGAGGCTACCTCCCTGGGGCTCCTCCCCTGGAGCTGGGCAGCACGTCCTGCCCCTCACTCAGCCAGTGACCTCTCCCACACAGAGGCAGGGACTCCCAGGACTGCAGCCCGCGGGCTTAGGACTTCTGCTGAGAGCAGTCAGACCCAGGCACCAAAACTCCCCGGGCTTCTATACACTGCTTCATTGACTGCGCGGCCCAGAACGGGCACCAAATCCTACTCCGAATCCCAAAGCCTCCCAGATTCCCAGATGTTCTTACTGAGTCTCACCTCTCTCCTGGGAGACAGGCACCTGCCGCCAGGAGGGACCCTCTTCCATCCGCCAGCCCTCGGGGCTGGGTGGGGCCTGTTGAGAGAGACACGGGCATTTCCATGAGCCCTGGAGACGCTGAGAAGAAGGGAGATGCTGGGAGTACACAGGGAATCGCCCTCTCCTCCCCCTGGCCCGACAATGCGGGCTGCAGCCTGGACCTTATGTCCATGAGACCAATCCCAGGTAGAAGACCCGCAACCCAGTGTGCGGGGGCTCAGCCCTAGAAATCAGCGGCTTCACAGTCCTCCTTCCCAGGTGGAGAGGGTGAAGCCCAGAGGAGGGAAGTGACTTGCCCAAGGTTGCACAGGATGTGAGGCAGAGGCGAGGTTGGAGCTGAGGCATTCTGGTTCCCAGGTCAACGTCTCGTCCACTTTGGGTGCTGTGGGGGAGGCAGGGCCCAGCCCGTCCTCCAGCGAAGTCTGAGACACACAGAGATTGACAGAAAGAGAAGAGGGGGGTTGGCCAGAGGGAAACTGCTCCCAGGCCCTTTCCCATACCCCGTGAGATGTACTCCCTCGCAGTCTGCCCAGATGGCCCTGCTTCCAAGGGGCCAGCTTAAGGAGGGGCTGTGTCACAGGGACGGCAGTGGGCCCTGGTCCTGGGCTGGGTCGGCTCTGCCGCCAGCTCCCAGCTTCTGGGGTGGAACTCCCAGGCTTCCCTCTGAGCGCCTGGTGCACTAGAGCAAGGTCCAGGGAGAATGCACCTGCCCAGGACAGAGCCCCAACCATCCCACCCGGGGTCCCCCCTGCAGTACTGGGAGCTTCCCTGCTTAAGAGCCCTTGTCCACTGTTCTGTGGGAACTGAGAGATTAGAAAGTTACGCCTCGCCCTGCCATCTTCAGTCTCCTTATCTCCCCAGGCAGCCTGTGCTCCCGATGGTCTCTGTAACCCGGCCCCCTCCCTGCTGTCATATGGGTGCAATCTGTTGAGGCTGGCCAGGGGAGAACAAGGGGTGAGCGAGAAGTAACAAAGTCCTCACATCTCTTGAGAGAAGACAGGACAGGACTCCCAGACAGCCCTCCCTGTGTGAAGGCCAGAGGTCACCCCTGCACGCTGACCCTGCCCTCGGCTGCTGCCAGGTCTCAGAGGCGGGAGGACAGCCCGGGGTCGGCCAGAATGCCCCGTGGTGGGAAGAGCTGCCTGTTCTCCAGAGATGTGGAGACGCGGCCTCTTGGTGCCGGGGAGGAGCGGAATTTCTGGCCCTAGTTGCCAGCAGGTTTGGCCGACGTCACCACCTGCATGTGACGTCCGGTCGTCCTGAAGTCGACCCTGGTCCTGATCTTCTCCTCCATCACTGCCCACCCCCCACTCCAAAAGGCCCTATCGACAGAAGAGCATGGCTGGGGCCTGGGAACTCCTGAGGAAGGCCATGTCCCTTCTACATCCCCAAATGGGCTGGTTCCCAGGACTACTGCGCTTACCTGGCTCTCCTCCTGGCCAGAAGGTGCTGCAAGGGCCCCCTCGGTGCTGGGCTCGAAGGTGCAGCAGGGGTGCAGCTTGTAGGTGGGCACCGGGAACGGAGGGGTGTTGCGCCCACTGCGTTCAGCACCGTGATCCCCCCACTCTGGCTCACTCCCCAGCTCCCAAGCCACTGCGCCCCCTAGCAGTGGCGGCTCAAGGGCCTGTGGGCCATCGGGCCCCAAGTTCACATCCGTGGTGGGGTCTGGGAACCCCCAGGAGAAGCGCTCTGCAGAAGCACTGGCTTCAGAACCAGGGCTTTCCAGGAAGAGCGGGTTGTCGAAGAACACGCTCTCTTCCTCCGCTCCCCACTCGGGCGAAAGGCCTGGGGTCCCCTCCCTCGGCCATGCCTGCTTCTCCTCCTCCTCCGGCCCGCTGCTGTCTTCCCCGGAGTCCTCCCCCACGGGGGAGCTGGGGTGCAGGCCCGGGTGGCCGGGCAGCTCTGCAGGGGCAGGGGGCAGGCAGCACTTCAGCCCAGCCCGGAGCCCTTCCGTCTTCTCCAGCTCCTCCTCCAGGTCCAGGACACACATCTGGGCCTGCAGGATGCCCGCCCAGAACACCACTTGGGTGGACGAGTTCCGGTTCTGCTGAGGGCTCCCCAGACCACGGCTGTCCCCAGGCGGCCCCGGGGATGCTGTGGTGTTCTGCCTGGGCTCCCCCTGGGAGGAGCAGCTCTCCAGGAGTGAAGGCTCCACATCGGAGCTCCAGGGAGGAGCATCGTGCCGGGTGGCTCCAGCGGGGTCCACGGCCCAGGTCTGGTCCTCGGGCGGTCTGGGAGGGCCCAGAGGGCAGTGTCCTGGAGGGGGCTGCAGGTCACCTCCCAAATAGATGTCGAGAAGTTCCACGGGTTGGGCGTGGTCCGGGAGTCTGTGGTCGCCCATGGTCCACGGAGTGAAGTTTTCACAATCCCATCGTGCGAACTAGTGCGAGCGCCGGCCGGGGCGGGAACTGGGAATCCACATCTACCCTGGAAATGCCCAAAGCAAATGCAGGTGAGGGAACAGCATCCACGCTCTCGTCTGGAGTGGTGGACGGCTCTGCAGAGTCCACTGCTCAAGAGACACCACCCTCCCCGGCCCTGCAGGGACTCAAGACACTGCGGATGCCACGTGTGCCCAGTCTCGACCCTGCACCAGGCAGCGCCAGTCCCCAAGACGCCTTCTGTCAGCTGAAGGTGTCCCTGCGGCTTAACTGAGAAGGGTGAGAGGCTCAAACCAGATCCCCCACTGTCGGCAGCAGAGACCCCCTCAGAGCCTTGGGGAAGCAGCGGCCGGCCAGAAATGCTTGCACCTGGCCGGTGCCACGGCTCAATAGGCTAATCCTCCACCTTGTGGCGCCGGCACACCGGGTTCTAGTCCCGGTCAGGGCGCCGGATTCTGTCCCAGTTGCCACTCTTCCAGGCCAGCTCTCTGCTGTGGCCAGGGAGTGCAGTGGAGGATGGCCCAAGTGCTTGTGCCCTGCACCCCATGGGAGACCAGGAGAAGCACCTGGCTCCTGCCTTCGGATCAGCGCAGTGCACCGGCCACAGTGCGCCAGCTGTGGCGGCCATTGGAGGGTGAATCAACGGCAAAAGGAAGACCTTTCTCTCTCTCTCTCTCTCTCTCACTGTCCACTCTGCCTGTCAAAAAAAAAGAAAAAAAAAAAAGAAAGAAAGAAATGCTTGTACCTAACTGCAGAAGTGCTCACATCAGAGGCCAGAGAGTGGCACAGGCTCCTGGGAGAAGTGGGCACCCGGGTGAGAAAGACCCCAGCCTGCCTTGCCCCCACCAGCCCAGGGTCCCGTGCCTGGGCCTGCCCTGTCCACCAGGCCAGCTCACAGGTCTGGATCTTGGTTCTTCGCAAGTTTCTGACAGCAGTGCACGTTGGCCCAGGTGGAAGCAGGAAGGGACTGTCCACTAAGCTCAGGCCAGGCCTCAAGGAGGGAAGATGCTTCCGCCCTGCTGCCCACCCACTAGGGTTGTGGTGGCGCTGTCTGCTCAGAGCTGCCCTGCCCTGCATAGCAGCTGCATTAGCACCATGGGTCGGCCCTCCCTGGATGTTTTAATGCATAGCACAAGTCCCCATCCCCCCACATGCGGACCACGGCATACACGCCTCGCAGAGCCACCCTGCCTCCTCAGGAAAACCGGCTTGATTTAGCTCCCTGCTAATGCACCTAGGAAGGCAGAGGAAGATGGCTCAAGTGCTTGGGTTCCTACCTCCCATGGGGGAGACCTGGATGGAGTTCCTGGCTCCTGGATTCCAGCCTGGCCCAGTCCTGCCCATTGCAGACATTTAGGGAGAGAACCAATGGATGCAAGAGCTCTCTGTCTTTCCCTCTCTGTTTCTCTGCCACTCCAATAACTAAAGAAAGTTTCAAAAGAAAAAGTACACAAGCTGGCCCATGGCACGTGTTTCCATTGTTCAGCAAGCCCCTGGCTGCAGTACCTCTTCCCTTATTTTGCCTTTGCCCGGCTCTTGTCACATGCTAGTGTCTTTCTCGAAGACAGGGTGTGCTTGGTAGCTGTACTGAGACATCTGGGCAAACAAGACTGTTAATAAACACACACATGCCCATGCTCTCAAGGCATGGTTAGCGCAGTCATCCTCACCCTCTGCTCTCCCAACCTCCTGGCCTGCGGGCGAGCAGGTGCGCTGTGCTCCTGATTCACAGATGAGGAAGCCGAGGCCTGAGATTGGCCGACGGATCCACCACTGGGAAGGGAGGCCCTACTGGGCCCACAGACCGCCCAGCTTCCTGTGTGTGGCTCTCTCCCGACAGTGGGCACCTCTTCCTCTGACACAGAGGGGGTGCTGCCGGGCAGCCTTCCCTAGCACCACGCCCAGTCCTCATGGAGGGCTCTACACCTCAACCTCCACAGTCAGGCTACGGGAGATGGGGCCTGGCCTGGTGTTTAGGGACCTGGCCAGCACGCACCACAGACCTGCGGGGACAACTCCTGGCAGTAGAGAGCTTGGGCTCAAGGCAGGACCACAGGACCCTAGGCTCAAAGCCCACCCTGCCACTTACAGTCAAATAAACCAGCGAGGTGCTGAGTGGGGAGCTAATGGTGGTGATTCATGTCCAGCCTTCAGACCAGCGTGGTTACCAGGAGATACTCAGTAAGAGGTAACCCCCGGAGCTTTCAAACCAAAACCAGGCAGGACCCACCTCTTTACCTGGAAACCACGGCCCCAGAGAGAAACGAGCTAGGACTAACATAGCCAGTCCCTTACGCATGGTCACGGAATCCTCCTAAAATTCCTGTCTGGGTTTGCACTCTCCCTTTGTCCCAACCTCACCTTCCTCACTTTTAGCCTAACAAGAACTTGAACCTGCGGGATGACATCTTCATGGTTCTGAAGTTTCAGGTCCCTGGGAAGAGCCCCTGGCCAGCCTCAGGGCTCCTCAGTCACTCGTGCCAACTCAGCTTCCCCAGAAGGGTTGCCTTCCTAAAAGGCAGGGCAGTTTCACGGTTGGTCTTGCACCCGGTGCTCTCGTCCGCTGGACTTGAACTGGTCCTGCCTTCCAGCCTCCTCCTAGCTGTCTCCAACCGTTTTAGCTCCATCTTCACATGCGCCCTAGGAGTCACCTCTTCATCCCACCCCCAGGGCCCAGGCTGAGAATTCCCATGGTCTTGCTCCCTAAGTCGCGGGTCCAGAGCTGCTACCTTGCTCCCCATTTCACACTCTCAGTGCTCTTGGGGAAGAGGCCCACAACAGCTCTGCCTCCAGCGAGGAGGGGACGGGGGGGAGACTCAAGACCCACTGTCCACGCTCCAGCAGCTCCCCTGGATCCCAAGCCTCTGTCCTCAGGACTGCCTGGTAGAGAGGACCACAGGGTGCAGGAGATGACTGGGGAGATGTCTCCATTCAGGAGACAGAAGGGGGAGGTGGGAGATGCTCCTGGTGCACCTGCAGCTCCACCCACCGTCTCCTTCCCAGTCCCAAGGCTGCCCGCCCTTGCCACCCCTTCCCTGCTAAGCTCTGCTCTTCTCACACAGCTGGCTCCCTTCCTGGCCATGAATGTCCTCCTGTCTTCATTCCCACAACCCCCACACATGGTAACTGAATGTGTACCAGCCTCTGGTCCCTGTGGGCATCAGAGCGCTTTGCCAGGATGACATCCGCTCAGAGTAAAGTCACCTGATGGGCAAAGTTCACATGCTAATAATAGGAACGGGGGTAGGGTCAGCAGCACAGGGGTCCTGCATTGTTTTCCGTGATGACAAGGAGTTCCCACGGGTCTCTCTGCACACCTACATTTTAGAAACCAATATGTATTTACGTGCATAAAGCAGCCATCGAGGCCCACGTTAATGACTAGGCTAGACACACATGAGCATTGGATTTGACTTCTCAGAGCAGAGAGAGAAGAGAGCAGATCTTGGGAACTGCAGGCAATGAGAGGAGATGGGTGCTAAGGGCAGGACACAGTTACAGGTTGCAAAGTGGTATTTCCATCAACGGCAGACCACGCACACAATGGTGGCCACGCTATGCAGCTGAGGGGTGCAGGAGGTGACAGTGAGTCTTGAGCATACTCCAGGATGTTTGCCCCACAGTGAGAGGGATGCATTTCTCGGAAGGCAGCCCCGTGGTTAAGCAATGCACGGCTGTGCTGGGTTTTGCACTAAAGGTGCGGCCTGTGCCGAAATTCTGTAAACCCGTTCAACTCAGCCCGTCCTCCATCCCTCAAGGGTTCTTTGACTTCGCAGCATTGAGCCCCGTGTAATTTCCGCTGTGTTTACGCCCAGGGTTCTAGCTCGCCTGAATGTGAGTGCCAAGTGGGCAGGTCCCACGTGCTTCCTGTCTGTGGGTGGGTCTCAGGAGCTAAATGACGGCAGGACTTGGTGACAGGTGTTTTTATCCCACTGACAAAGTTCTGAGAATGGGGGCGCTCATGGTCATCCGTCAGTTCAAGTGCATTAGGAAGTTAGAGGTCAGCATTGAGCAGCTCAGGTCCACCCCTGAGATACCTGGGGTTCTGGAGCCCGGTGGGAGGTGGTCCTAGTTCCACGAAGGTTGTTGCCAAATTTAGCAAATAATCATATAGAAGGCTAGATACCTGGGGCACACTTAGACTCAGTTTAGTCTCTGTTTACCCAAAACTCAAGTTTAACTGGGGCTCCTGTGTGTTCCTCAGCAAGCCAGCCCATGGGGTGCCTGCACTGTGCCAGTAATCCAGCTTCGCAGCACTCCCCCGTCCCACCAGCCACGCCACACATGACACAAGGGGCAGCATCCCCTCCTTATTATGAAGAGACCAAAGCTCGGAGAAGTTCAGGAACTTGCAAGCTCGTTCCTAAGTGGGGAGCTGGGGTCTACACCCAGGGCGAGGGCGCTCTTAGGCATCACGCCCCTCCCACGCACAGATCACTTCTCTGGGGGCATTTGTCATTCCCTCGAGAAACACAGGCACTGTCCAGAGCAGGCCTGTGCAGCTCTATCTGAGGCAGCACCCCAGAGAGCTCTGTGAAAAGAAGAGGGAAGTGGGGGAGCAAATGGAGAAAGGAGACGACCTTCAAAATGCTCCCTGCTTAATCTGGCCGGAGGACCAGGGAGAGAGACTGAGGCTTGGAGAAGAACAATCCGCAGAGCTGTAACGCTAGCATTCTCCCTGGGGGCCCGTCTGCCTGTGAGCCAATCACCTTCTCCTCCCAGGATGCCCAGTGCTCTGGGGAAAGGGCCCCCCCCCCAGAGGTGCCCCCCAGCCCCAGAGGTCACTTAGGGACCCCTGTAATTGCATGTGTACGTCTGTCCACCCTTCCTTCCGTCCGTCCACTCTCCCATCTTTATTGCTCCTTCCTGGACAGAGGAGTGGGATGACCTGAAGGTGGGGCCACTTCTCTCGGCCATCACAGCAGTCCCACCAGTCCCCTGGCTGAGGGCAGTGTCACCCAGGAAGGGCCACGAGTGGACACAGCCTTGTTTCCCGGAAGCAGGGAGACACCCATCAGGCAGAGGTAGGCAGCACTTGGGGAGCAG